ACCTCTGACAATGCAACACACCTCCCAGCGCTGCATTGGAGCGTCAGCTTAGACTATGTGATTCCAAGTCCCAATGTGGGGCTTGAACCCACAACATTTGACTCAGAGGTGAGAGAGAGAGAGAGAGAGAGAGAGAGTGCTATCACTGAGCCAGGCTGATGATGATAAGTCTCAAAGCGCTTCACAGAATATACTGTAAAGTGAAGTGACTGTAGTTTTTGTGGGGGAATACCCTAAAAAGCTGGTGTCAAATGGCCAAACGAGGTCAGTTTTATTAGGTCAGAGCATCAAGGAATATGGGGCAAAGGTGAGTAAAATTAGAGCTCGATCATTTAGGAGGGGAATCAGGAAGTAGTTTATTTTATCCAAAAATCTGGAACTCTCTCCCTCCCCAAAAGGCTGTGGATCCATTCAAATTTTCAAGACCGAGCTGAATAGATATTTGTTTGGTCAGGGAATCAAGCGATACGGAGCAAGAGCGGGTAACTGAAGTTGTGGTACAGATCAGTCATGATTTAATAGAATGGCGGAACAGGCCTTAGGGACTGCTCCTATGAGTAGGGAAGAGTGAGGAAAAAGGGTGGAGGAGGAGAGAGGGAAAGGAGCCTTTCTGCATTACGTCAGAATCAAGAGTGAAGGACAGAAACTTGGAGTTTGAGAGAATCGAGAGTTAGCTTACATCAATCTCAAGCTGTCCGAAGTGAAGCACATGTATTATTAAACTGCATCTTTTTGGACTAATTCTTCACTACATATTTAATGACTGATCTGCCTCGGGAGCTAAACTTATCAGACGCTCTTCTTTTATTTATGGGCTTGCAAACAACATTTTTTCCTTCCGCCCTCACTCTGCAGGACTCCTCACCTCCCTCCCTCGCTCTTCCCTTTCCTCCTACAATCTACAAGGCTTTTGACTCCTCAGTAACCACCATCACTGCTGGATTTGTCTCGTTCCTCTGCTGCCATTTCAAGAGACAGGTCTGGATGGTGGACCTTGGCTTGTCACTGAGGAAACAGCCCCCCGCCCCCCCAAACACACACACACACACCAATCTGGAGAGGAGCCTGGGGAGGTGGAGGGAGGCAGATGTCCTGAACTTCTCCCTCAATCACCCTCCTGTCTGGAAGTAACAGCAGACCCCGAGGAGGGGTTTTGCTTTGACCTTCACAGTCAGTCGCTGTTGGGAAAGGGGCAGACGGAACTCGCGCCGGGAGGGTAGAACGTGACTTATTTGCACAGAATCAGCAGTAACCTTCACCTGAGCGCGTGAGAAAATTTGAGTTTTGTATACGTTACAACAACTTCCATTTATACTGCAACCTTCACGTAAGATAATGTCTCCATTTGCTACAGGGCCTTATCACACCGTTGAGACGTCTCAAAGCGCTTCGTAGAATATATTGTAAAGTGGAGTGACTGTGTTATTTCATGGGCAATTGCGCACAGCAGTCATGGATTAAATGACCATATTTTTTTTGGAGGGATTATTACCCCCGGAAAAGTGATCCGCAAATCGACTAACAACCGGGTTCCTACTTACTGCTGGTAAACAGAGGCGTGTGGAGGAGGATTCCCGGACAGGGCAAAATGTTGGGCAAGTATTCTTTACCCCACACGCCTGTTTGCGCAGCAGTAAGTAGGAACCCGGTTGTTAGTCGATTGGTGGATCGTTTTCCCGAGGGTAATAATTCCTTCTAAAAAAAACAATCATTTGGTCACTTAATCCACGGCTGTTTGTGGGGACACCGCTGTGCCCAAGCGGCTGCCATGTTTCTCCCACAAAATATACAGTCAATTCCCTTTACAGTATATTCTGTGAAGCGCTTTGAGACGTCTCGGGAGACGTGATAAGGCACCATATTGAAGACAGGGATAATTATTATTACGGCAGCATTTAGAGTGTCAGCGAGGGACTAGAGAGAGGGGAGGGGGCTACGGAGGCTTGGGGTGGTGGGTGCACGGAGAGAACAGTGGACGCACGGACAGGCTTCCATAACCGAGAGTAGAGGGGTGAGTGGAGGAGTAGGGTGGGAGAAGATCAGAGAGCGTGGAAGGTGCGCGAAGGGATTTATAGGTGAGGAGTTTGAAATCGATCTGCCCAGACAGAAGCAGGGAGCTCGGCAGTAGCTCAGTGGTAACATGAACCCACCACAAGTTATCATTAATGTAGTAATTGTACTCAGTTACCGTTTAATTCCTACCAACAAATGGCAGGTTTGTGTAGAGGTGAAAGTAGCAATTTTGTTGGAGCGTGCAATGTTATTTTCTTGTCAGCTAACAATGAGCCTCGAAGCACAGAGCGAAGGTAGAGCTAATTTCGGGGACGCACTTTGTCACAGGAAAGTGAGACGGGGTTTTTTTTTTATATAGGACTTCTTCCTTTCCTTTAGAAAGTCTTTACGATCCCTGAAGTTGCTTTTGAAGAGTTAGACGGTGCAAGTTAGATTCTGTTTGATCGGTGGTTTCGTGATCCTCTTCAGTTCAAATTTATTCTAATAACCCTTGCATATCGTGTCACATCGTTGAAACATTTCAAAGTGCTTCATTTGATTTTATTGGAATGTGTAGTGGCTGTGTGATTTGTGGATCTCGGAAAGAGCTCCAGTGGGGGAACGAGCACCAGCACAGACACGATGGGGAGAGAGAGAGCAGGGAATGGGGTTAGAGTAGAGAGCTCCAGTGGGTAAAAGCACTCAGTCCACGACTGTTTCAGGGACGCTGCTGTACGCACTTGGCTGCTGTGTTTCGCTCACGAAATACAGTCAATCCACTTGACAGTATATCCCGTGAAGCGCTTTGAGACGTCGCGAAGACGCGATAAGGCGCTGTATCAAATGCGAGGATTATTATTATTATTAAAATCGCTCACCATCTCATTTGACAGCAAATCATTGCCTTAATCGTGTCGATCTGACCCCAGCCGTGTGGTGCAGACACAGAGTCAGGCAGAGGTGCTCACCCTCTGTCTGTCTGTCTGTCTGCGTTTCCTTTCGACTCCTTTTCGACCCAGTGTTTTGCTCCGCTGCCAACTTTCACTGACGAGGCACAATTCCAATTAAAACCATCGCTTTTAAGCCGCCACAATTGGATCGGATTGAAACCGTTGCCACGCAACAGCTCTCAGCCTAGCAACCAGATTCCCCCGGCACTCGTCAGGGAGAAGGTGTTTATTTCGTGTGGGTGGATGTAAGGAGTTGGCTCGGCTTGGCAGCACTTGTGGTTACAGCTCCCTGCACATCGAGATGCTTCTCTGCGTTAGCAATCAAACCGGGGACAGGGCACCAGGCGAGGATTGGACACGTGACTTAGTCCCTCGCTCTTCACACGGGCAAAGAGAACAGTGTCGGAGACTGACGCATCACTGATTCACGTGGGACTGTGCCACACTGACGGACCGCGTGTGGCACCGAGTGTGTACACTCAGAAATTCCGAGCCGCGGTTTAGATTGAGTGGAGTCCTTATTGGTTAGAGCGCTCGCCTCGCGAGCAAGAAGACCTGGGCTTGATTCCCGGGCGGGACAGGGCAAAACCTTAGGCAAGTTTCCTTGCTCCACACGCCTCTGCTTGCCCAGCAGTGAGTAGGAACCCGGTTGTTAGGCGATTGGCGGATGGCTTTTTTTTCCCCGGGGGTAATAATCCCTTCCAAAAAAAAATAATAATAATTTGGTCACTCAATCCGTGACTGTGAGTGGGACGCTGGTGTGCGCAATTGGCTGCCACGTTTCACCCTCAGAATACACGGTCAATTCACTTCACTGTGTATCCTGTGAAGCGCTTTGAGACGTCTCGAAGACGTGATGAGGCGCTGTATCAAATGCGAGGATTACTATTATTATAAGTGGAGGGTTTCACTTTTCCTCTACTCGGTGACACCACCTTGGCAAGGCTTCAGAATCTCATGTTCTGGCTGTGCATGGGTGGATTCGAATCCCCGGGCCAGGCGAAACCTTAGGCAAGCTTCCTTACTCCACACGCTTCTGTTTACCTAACAGTGAGTAGGAATCCTACAGGAAACCTATATAAAATGCAAGGATTATTATTATTATATTCATGTGCTGTCAGCCTCAGGATATTCAGTAGGGCGATGGTTGCAGCCAAGGACTCGTGTCCTGTTCTAACCCACGTTCACACACACTCAAACACACATACTTTCCTGTAGGAGTCACTACTGAAGAGCCTTGTGGAGCATTAACCAGAAGCCTCCCGCTCTAGAAAATAATAGTGCTGCCAAGTTAGGAAGTTGTGGAGTCCTGTGGCTCAGTGGTTAGAGCGCTCACCTCGCAAGCGAGGGGACCTGGGTTCGGGGCGAAACCTTAGACGCCAGTTTCCTTACTCCACACGCCTCTGTTTACCTAGCAGTAAGTAGAAACCCAGTTGTTAGTCAATTGGTGGATCACTTTCTGGGGGTAATAATCCCTTCAAAATAAAATGCGGTCACTCAATCCGCGAGTGTTTGTGGGGACGCTGCCGTGCGCAATTGGCTGCCGCGTTTCGCCCACAAATTATACAGTCAATTCACTTTACAGTATATTCTGTGAAACACTTTGATCTGTCTTAACGACGTGATAAGACACTATATCGAACGCAAGGATTATTATTGTAACACTCAATCCACGGGTGTTTGCGGGACGCTGCTGGGCGCAATTGGCTGCCGTGTTTCACCTAGAAAATACGCGGTCAATCCACTTTACCTGTGAAGCGATTTGAGACGTCTCGAAGACGTGATAAGGTGCTCTATCAGATGCAAGAGTTATTATTATATCCTGCGAAGCTCTTTGAGACGTCGCAATGCCTGTATTTGTATACCTTTTAAATTATTCGCTATTTATTAAAGGGAAGGTGCTGCAAAGAGCAATTTGTTGTTGTAGTCTCAATGATGTGATAAGGCGCTGTTTATTATTGCTGTTATTGGAATGTGAGACTTTAACACACTTGTGAGCTGAAGAGCGGTGGATTGAGACTCTCTCCCTGTGTGTGTGTGCGTGTGTGTGTGTGGCAGGGGCTGGTGTTACACCAGCTGGGACGGTACAGCCTGGCCGAGAAGGTGCTACGGGACGCCGTGCAGGTCAACTCCACGGCACACGAGGTGTGGAACAACCTGGGCGAGGTCCTGCAAGCACAGGGCAACCACCACGCAGCCACGGAGTGCTTCCTCACCGCCCTGGAACTCGAGGCCAGCAGCCCCGTCGTCCCCTTCACCATCATCCCCAGGACACTGTGAGCCGGGCCGGGCCGGGCTGGGGCTGGGGGTGCGGGCGGGGCTGGGCTGGGCAGGGCAGGGCTGGGGAAGGACTTCACTGTTACACTGGAGACAAGTGCCACGTTCTTTTCGGATGCGCACACACTGTCTGTCTATCATCCAGCCCCAGGGGGCTCATTCTCTCTCTCTCTCTCTCTCTTACCAGTGTAAAGTGGCTGTTGAGGTGTGTTTTACTGTCTGATCTGACCAGGGAGAGGGTGGGGCGGGGAGTGGGGGGAGCAACAAATCTCTGCCCGGAAAGTCTGCCTCTTGACAAACAGTGGATTTCCTTTGGATTCGGTTACTCTCACAGACACACTGCTACTCTCACAGAGACTGTTACACTCACAGACACACTCTTAGTATCAAAGATACTGTTACTCTCATAGACACTGTTATTCTCACAGACACACTGTTACTCTCACAGCCACACTGTTACACTCCCAGATATTGTTACGCTCCCAGAAATAACAGTGTCTCAAAGACACTGTTACTCTCACAGACACTCTGTTACTCTCACAGAGACTGTTACACTCACAGACACACTCTTAGTATCAAAGATACTGTTACTCTCATAGACACTGTGTTATTCTCACAGACACTCCATACACTGCTCTGAGGCCAGTCGAGCCTTTGCTCAGGGCTGAGCACTGTCCAATTCAGTGTAAATCACACCTCAACAAACTCACTGCCTGTTTATTGTCCTCTCCCACGTTTGTACCTTGCACCAGAAACTCTGAATCTGAGCCTGAGAAAGGGGGTGGGGGAGAGTGGGGTGGGGTATATATAAGATATATATATATATATATGTATATGTATAGTCATATAAGTAATATATTTATATTGTGTGTTTACATTAAGAGCCAACAGAGTACGGCTTGTAACTGGAACTAACTCCGCAGTCTCAGCGTTTCAATGTAGAAATATGTACAGAGGAGAAACTAGAAAGTGCTCTGCCCTCTGCCCTCCCCCCACACTGAGCTCACACAGATGGAGGTCAGTCTGAACGGGCTTTGGGCAATCAGGAGCTCGAGCAAATGGACTGGAACTATTTTCACTCGACTGTGACACTAATTTCCTTTTTGTCGGAGGTGGTGGTGGGTGGGTGGGGGGGGGGGTTGAAGGAGGGGAGGATTTAACTAATACATACTAAATTCAACAAAATATCACTTAATTAAATCGCGGTGTGTAATAAGCCAAGGCAGTGGGAGTCGGCTGGGGCAGAGGGAACCACAGGCCGCTGGTCTCTTATCGCAGTGTGATTGATGTTTGCTGGGGTTGAGTGGGGTGGGGGTTCAGCGTTGCTGATCAGCCTTCACTGAGAGGGAGCTAGGGTCTCCCCCCACCTACCACCTCCACCACTGCCCCTGCCTTGGCTTCAGCAGAGATCTGAGAGGGGAGAAGAGTTATCATAGAATCCCACAGCACAGAAGGAGGCCATTCGGCCCATCGGGCCTGTGTCGGCTCTTTTGAGTGAGCTACCAACCAGTCCCACTCGCCCGCTCTTACACCCCCCATAGCCCTGCAAACGTTTCCTTTTTAACTATCTATCCAATTCCCTTTTGAAAGCTATTATCGAATCTGCTTCCAACGCCCTTTCAGGAGGTGGGTTCCAGACTGTAACAACTCTCTGGGGGGAAAAAAATGTCTCCTCGTCTCCCCTCTGCTTATTTTTCTAAGTCGGCAGTGTTCGATGATTTTGTTTCCATCGGTTTTTAAAGCCCATCTCAGGCACAAACCCTCGGGACAGCTGGCTTTCAGTACTGAGCCCCATCGTACATCGCAGGCACGTCGGTCGCTGTGACAGAGGCTTGTGTATGTAATCTTCCCAGGAAATGACCCTCCCCGAAGCATGTGCTGTACTGCTGTGTGTTTGTGTAAGAGATGATTACTCAGACATTACTGCCACACACACACACACACACGCGCGCTGACACTACCTCACATACACACACTACCTTTGAGCAGTTACCCCAACCCACATTCTGGGCTCCCCCAAGCCTTGAACCTTGCCACCCTACGCCTAATACTTTCTGGAATTAGGTAAGCAGGCTGCGTCCCTCCAGGGAGAGAGCGCGCACACTCCATTCCAACAATCAATCTATCTCTGGGATTTCCACGCGGAGGTGGAATTCTCAGATTACTTTGGAGACTCTTAAGCGATGGTGGTGGGTTTCCGAATGTGTCAGACACCCACCCGGCCCCAAAAAAATACTACCTTAAACACTACCGTACATTCCTCTTGTGCACACACACCCACACACTCACACACACACATTCATACACACACACACACTCACACACACCCACACATACACACACACACACCCTCACTCAGACACACCACACACACAGAGGGCTGAGAAGTGCATCTCACAGTGGCATCACTTGACTGCCAGGCGTGAGGTGATGTTCTTGAGACATCTCAAAGACGTGATAAGGCACTGTATCAAATGCAGGGATTACTATTATTATCATAATTATTATGTCATGGATGGGATGAGGTTTTGTACGTAGAGGAGAGTGACGGGAGCTGAAAGAATTGCTGTAAATGAAAGTCTGGAATCTCTTCCCTCCTCAGTGATCACTTCTACTCCGTCTGCTTGTCACACCTGAGGATTGAGCAGCGCGGGGGTGGGTGGGGGGGAATGTGGGGGAGGGTGGGGGGGAATGTGGGGGAGGGTGGGGGGGCCGGGGAAGAGCGTGTGGCGAGAGCTGACCTTTAATCGTAAGGTGGGGAGCAGTAATGATGTGCATGTCCAAGCTAATAGCCCTCCCTGGACCAGACCTGCAGCTGCTAAAGATTCCTACTCTTTCATGTCTGCTTGTTGGTGGTGGGTCAGCCCTGCACGGTCCTGCCCTCCCCAGCCCTACCCTCCCCTGCCCTGCACGGTCCTGCCTTCCCCTGCCCTCCTCAGCCTGTCCTGCCCTCCCCAGCTCGATCCTACCCTCCTCAGCCTGTCCTGACCAGCCTGTCCTGCCCTCCCCAGCCTTGCCCAGCCTGTCCTGCCCTCCCCAGCCCTGCCCAGCCTGTCCTGCCCTCCCCAGCCCTGCCCAGCCTGTCCTGCCCTCCCCAGCCCTGCCCAGCCTGTCCTGCCCTCCCCAGCCCTGCCCAGTGCCATCTTGTCTGCCCAGCCCTGCCCAGCCTGTCCTGCCCTCCCCAGCCCTGCCCAGTGCCATCTTGTCTCCCCAGCCCTGCCCAGCCTGTCCTGCCCTCCCCAGCCCTGCCCAGTGCCATCTTGTCCTCCCAGCCCCAGCTCTGCCTCAAACACAGCATCAATTGCGTCCCAGAATGTGCTTTTCCAGCCAGTGACGAGTCAGCTGATCAGTCCTCCTTTTGATATCGGGATATAAATACAATCCCTCCCGAATACTGATCATTCTTAGACCCTGGGGACGCTCGCCTCACAATTGCTCTCCCCCCTCTCCATCCCCTTCTCTCTCTCTCTCTCTCTCTCTCTCCCCTTCTTTCTCTTTCTCTACCCCCCACATCCTCATCCCCTTCTCTCTCTCTCTCTCTGACCCTATTTAGGTCACAGAAGTCTGCTGCTCTGCGCTGTGCTCAGGAGCATGTGATGTCTGATGGCTCGAGGATACTAAAGGGGAAGAGGTGTTGATTTGTAAGCTGTGAAGCAGCAGAAACATTCACACAGTAAATTCCAGGGCCTCGCTCAGAGGTAGCCCACCCCTTTTTCTCTCTCTGATGGGGACGGCGTGTGGGGGGAATGTATTAACAAACACCACAATAACATTTCCATAATAATAATCCTTGCATTTGATACAGCGCCTCATTACGTCTTCAAGACGTCTCAAAGCGTTTCGCAGAAGATACTGTAGAGTGAATTGACTATGTTTTGTGGGCGAAACGCGGCAGCCAATTGAGCACAGCAGCGTCCCATAAACAGTCGTGGATTGAGTGAACAAATTATTACCATCAGTTTTTTTTTAAAGGGATTGTTACCTCCAGAAAAGTGATCCACCAATCGACTAACAACCGTGTTCCTACTTGCTGCTGGGTAAACAGAGGCGTGTGGAGTAAGGAAACTTGCCCAACGTTTCGCCCCCTGCCCGGGAATCGAGTCCAGGTCTTCTCGCTTGCGAGACGAGTGCTCTAACCACTGAAATACAGGATTCCATAGACTATAAAGTCGGAGATTCCTGTAGTTAACCTGCACAGCCCTCACACTCACTTGTGTTGTGTATTGACCTCTCCAAACTCTCCCACCTGCCTCAGATGTTCCCTACAGATCATTTATTTCTGACTCGGAAGGAGATTTTGGCAGATACAGCACCCAGTGTAGCATTGTCAGCCCCCCCCAGCCTAGGGTCAGAGAGAGTGAGAAAGGGAAGGATGTGGGATGGGGAGAGAGAGGGATGTGTGGGGAAAGGTGTGGGGGGGGAAAGAGAGGGAAAGAAGGGAGTGGAGAGAGAGGGGGGTGGGGGGGAGAGCAATCGTGAGGTGGGAGTCTCTGGGAACTAAGAAAGATCAGTTTCTGGGAGGAATTCAATTTACATCCCGTCAGTCGCTGCAGCTTCCCACTTTCCTGAAGTTTTCCTGGAACAAACTGGATTCTCCCAGGAATCTTCCCGGTTCTCTTTATCTCCCAGACCCCCATCTACAGTGAGCCGGTTGAGGGAGGAAGGCAGTGTTGGGTTTGGGGGCAACAGACCAAGGCGATGGGTTTCCGCTGGGTCAGGCATTTTTTGGATCCATCGAGTCCCAGGTATGTCTCTCTGAATTTCCTGACCTCAGTCCGGTTATAATAATAATAATCCTTGCATTTGATACAGCGCCTTATCACGTTGACGAGACGTCTCAAAGCGCTTCACGGGATCCACTGTAAAGTGGAGTGACTGTGTTTTTTGCGGGCGAAACGTTTAATGGATGGGATTTAATTGACATTGACTGTGTACGGAGATAAAGCACTGAGTGTCCTAACAGGCAGCGATCGCGCCCTGGCTCTCCGTCGCTGCCCCAGCTCGAATGTTAAACAGAAACC